AAAATAGTCAAGTTTTCACTTTTAGTACAAATGCAATCACTAATTCATTATTGTGTTTGTGCTTTTTTTTGAGAAAAAAGTGTTATTATATTAAGTGTAATTAGAAATTTAGTATAAATGTATTAGTAAATTTAGTATAACTAATTAATAAATTCTATTAGTAGACATGTAGAATTATTCATATAATTGATAATATCAATTATATTACATAAACTAATATACATTATATAATACATCTAACTAATAATATCATTATCATAAGTTTATAACTAATTAACTTACATATTATATATAATTATATATATATTTATATATATATATATATATATATATTTTTTTGCGGGGGGCGGGGCGGGGGATGGGGCGGGGGTATACTCCCCCGCCCCCCGCCCCGTTTCTAAGCGGGGGGAAAAAATTCCCCCCCGCCCCCGCCCCACCCCCCGCCCCGAGAGCCCCCCGCGGGGCGGGTGCCCGCGGGCACCCGCCCCCATTGCCATCCCTACTGCCACCCTCCCAATGAAAATGGAAAATGCCCCAAACTCACTCCGCCCCACCCTTCTTCAACGTCGTCCATCTCATGGGCCCAATTGCCAAGCCCTTTTACGGAGTATTTGGTTTTGTATCAGTAAAAAAGAAAGAAAATTTGTACTCATTTTTGCCTTTATCAGCTATGGTGTTCTTCTTAATTAGCAGCAGCACAGCTGAGTCCAAACTCAATATTTGAATAGGTGGTGATCAAAGAACTCTCAAACACAAACTTTTATTAGCACCCGCGAGGGAAGCGGAGCGGGGGACAGGGCGGGGGCGGGGGATGGGGAGGAGTCCCCCGCCCCAACCCCGCTCCGTTGCCATCCCTAATCAGCCCTATTGAATATGGATACCCAATTTGTAAATTGATTTGAGGATTGACCCAAAAAAAAAAAACAATAGTTTTATTTTTTTTCTCCGTAGTTTAGTCCTTAATAAATTCTTAGAAGCATTTATTAAAGGGGTAGAAGGGCTTTTATCCAATTGTTTACGTGCTATGTGCGGTACTCTGCTTTAACAAGCTGCTAAGCACATTTGTAGTCGACCCAAAACAAAGGGAAATAAAAGTTCCCTCTTTGTTTTTCTAATTAATTTTTTTAGCAGAAAAAAATGAGATTGAAGATAGGAGAAAATAGCGATATTTGAGAGAAAAAAATAATGAATTAAAAGAAGAAGAAGAAGAAAGATCAGAACTTGTATCATGCCAAAAAGAAAACAAAAAAATGGTCGATAAATTATTACAAGAAACGTAAGTTGATAAATATACAGTGCCAAAAGATTAAGAAAATGTATGTGTAGTTAGAAAATCTAAAAGAAAAGTTAGTTAGTCTAACTTTACCCTGAAAAAGCTTTTTAATATAGTTCTGAAGAATGGACAATAGGTTAGTTTAGATGTCTCAATTTGAGCAGCAGTGATGGACCCTCTCCACCGAAAAAGTATGAATTCTTGCCTTTAGACATTTAATTCATAATTCATGTAAGTTATCATGATCAAGACGACGCCGTGAAAGTTTGAAATCATATCAGGCATGAAAACAATAAAGCAAGGCTTTCACTTTGCAAGTCTTGCTTCTTTTGTTGTTTGTGTGCCAATGAAAAGTCACGTGAGATACAATACAATGCCAACAAGTTCGCATAATTAGTAAGGACGGTATTTTTTCACAAAAGATTATCTGCTCGAGTCTAGCATCTCGCGTGAGAAGTGTATTGACGAGCGATTTATAAAATTTATTATAAGTAATTTATAGTTTTAGAAATATGTCTTGATGGGAGCAAAAAAGACAGTACATTGAGTTTACATTGACTTTATTGCATCTATTTTAGGTTGAATTTTGGGATAATTTCATAAACCTCTCCTGAAATTTCTCACAATTACAAAGAGCTCCCCTTAGATTTTAAAAATTACATATATCTCTCTTACTTTTACTGTTTAGTAACAATGTAGGTTCAAGAACTTTGATTTTCTTTCAAAAATCCTAAATTGCCCTTTTGTACAAAATTAAGAAAGAAAAATATAATATATTCAATCATTTTCTTCCACACTTTGCATAAATCAACAAAACTAAATTCCTAATAACCATCTAAGTTCTAAAATCAAGTAACCATTCAAAAGATCCTAAATTGGATATACTGTATCAATACTGGACACAATAAAAAAAATACACACACAAAACACTATTGACAACCAATTTTATACCCCCAAATTAAATATCAATGCTCACATACCTCTTCAATATAAGCTAATTTAACCTAGAATTACCATTACAACTCTCCTATGGTATTAAAAATATTAATATATCGAAAGTAGAGAATAAATTCTACCTCCACAATAAAATCATAATAAAAATTTTCTAATCCAATGAAAGAAATCATTATGTAATTATTGACATTTTATAAAAGTTTTTCTTAACAATAAACAAAATATGACAAATTCCACATTTTTAGTTCTTGTTCCTATTTCAATCATGAATTTCATTATTTATTTCTCTATTATTGCGAGTCTCTTCATTTTCTTCTAGTTTGAAGCATAATCTATTCGCTTTGTAGGTTTTGTAATTTCAATTTGCTAATATCCACAAAACTGAAGATAATAAAAAGAGGTTATATTAACTAGAAAATAGACAAAAGATGGAAAAATAGATCTTTTTAGGTTTTGTAAGTTTATTGCTTTAAATTTAAAATTGTCTACTAAGTGGAGGGCATTATAAATATTTTATTATATTAAGGGAGGTAAGTGTAATTTTTTAAACCTGAGAGGAGCCGAGTGAAATTGTTAGAAACCTCAAGGGAGGTTTCTGAAATTATCCCTTGAATTTTTTTAGTGTATTTCTGGATTGAAATTTACTGGTGGCTCACATGATAGAGTATCTTTAGTTTTTTTTTTTTAATTAAATTTCTGGTTGAAATTTTTTGGGTATATGATACTGTCACGTGATATGTCACCTTCAATCATTGCTATCAAAATAGATTCTTAAAGCAAAATAAGAACATCAATTTAAAATTACTACAGATCTAATGTAGCACATGAACATTATTAAAACTGTTTGTATTCCGATATGCATAAGCAAATTTTCTAATACCAGAAACTAAAATCAACTAAAAGCAGAGTCAGTTGAGAATAGGCACATAGTTGTGAAGCAGCTGTATGTTTTTTAGAATAGGCTTCCCCCTAGTTATTCAATTAAAAAAAAAAAAAAAGCCTTCGAATGACTACTGATTTTTTTTCCAATAAATGTTTTTTTTCACTTACTTAATAAGCATGCTTTTCAATTATTTTTTTATCTTTTTATTCACCTTTTTATCTTATATACATCACATTAAAAATATATATTATTGTATTATATTAAAAAAAATTTCCCACATAATGATGTATCAAGCACCCTCAATAGCCAATAGGTCACCTCTAAACCTGCAAAGAAATATGCCAATTTATTATTCTTATTTGGCGGCTTCAAATTTAGAATTCCTATTAGTGATGGAAATGGGGCAGGAACGGTTGTCAGTGACAACCGTTCCTGAAGGTTCACGGTCACGATGTGGCCTAAAAAATTTGTGCGGCTCAGATTACAGCATGTAACTCGATTTTCACGTCATGTGTGGGGCCCACAAAAAAGTATTGTAAAATTATATCGTGTGCAATGGAAGTTACGCGCAGTGAAAAATGAATACAACCAGCTCAATCGGTTGCACCTGCAACCGTCGTGCCACTTGTGATGTATGCACATTATGTGTGTGTGTCAAGAGCACTATCCAACAAAAACAAAATAAAGAAAAGCAAGATGGTTAAATTGCTCAAAAGTATTTGTGTTAAAAAGAATTAATCTAAATTTTCGTGTGAATTTGTTTTACTCTATAAAAATTGAATGTATGTCACATGTGAGTTGAATAATTTAACTTTAAAGAAAGAATTTGTCCTAATATAGTTTAGAAAATAATAACCTTTAAATATTTATTTTGGTAAGTATACTCCTTTCCCATAGAGATCATGTAGATAAGCAATCAAGTTTTGTGCCATTTTCAATGAAATCAATTAGGTAATCATCCAAACTAATTAACCAACTTGCCACCTAGTGGGCAAAGTGGAAGTAAACAGCTCAACTAAAAGAAAAGCAAGTTTTACCATTTGTTTCATTTTTTCCTTTTTTGGTTTTTGCTTTATGTATAACAGTATCAGCTAGATCCTAGACAATTTCACATGGCATGGTAATGAGTCCAATGACTAATGAACATTTCTCACATTGCTTCAAAAAAATAGAAAAAAAAAAAAGACATTTGTTACATCTTTAGAGACTAACATAAAGTTTGGATTACAATTTTTTACTACAAAATTTTTACCTCACTCGCAATAATATATATATTTTTTATAAAAACTTAAAAAAAGAGCCATCCAAACTACAAAACTTCACTGAAAGCTTTAAATGCTATATACAAAACCCTGAGTGTCAACACTTTTAATATATTGTTTTCTAGTGCATCTGAATTTAATTACATTCATCCAAATCTCTAAACTCTCCGTAGAAATTAAACACCACATTCATTGCAGAAATTAATATGATAATCCGACTATCTGAGTTTCTTCCTTTATTTTTTTCATCTCTAGATCGTAGGTAAAAAAAAAAATGGGGCCACCTTTTAATCTAATTTTTCTCCCTAACCAATCAAGCAATTCGTGCCGGACGAATTTCAATAATTTAATTAATAATATTTTTTATCCAAAAAAAGAAAAAAAATCCCTAATAAATCATTCAATCTCAAATTAGCCCAAAACAAGCAAAATCACAAATAAAAAAAAATAAAAAATTTTCTCTTTCTCCTCCCCAAATCTAGATCTTCTCTACTCATTAATCCTTAAACGAAAAACTTAAAAAAAATTATAGGATAAAGAAATAAAACAAATTCCAGATCGTAATCTTTTTTTTTTTTTTAATTCTAGATCATAATCAAAATAAAAAATCCCTATATAAACAACTTTTCCCCACACAAAATCCACCTCACCTTATCATCATCCCATCCATCTCATGTCATCATCGTCGGATAGTTGTAACTCTCGCCACTTTTCATGGCTTATGAAATCTTGTTTTCCCGATCCCCACCACCACCTCCACCTCCACCATCCTCAACCGTGTTCCACCGCCGCCCCCACTACCACCTGTACTGCCACCACCATTTCTTCCCTCCCAGATGATCTTCTTCTAGAATGCCTCGCTAGAGCCTCTCACTCCTCACTCCCTTCTCTCCCTTTCGTCTGCAGGAGATGGGCCCACCTCCTAGATTCCAAAGATTTCCATTCTCTCCGGCGACATCATAATCTCCTCCACTTTACACTCTTCTCCGTTTCTATCCACAACTCCACCCTTTTCACGGCTAGCCACCGCTTGGATTTTGATTCATCGTGGAGAGTTTCGTCTTTTCTGCCCTCTGACGATGCCGTCACGCAACATGGGTCGCTGCATTCGTTGTTTTCTCATTCCAGAGTGGCAGCTATTGGCCGGAAAATCTACATAATTGGCCGGACGGCGATGCTTCGGTGTGACACGTGGACCGGGACACTAGTCCCGAAACCAGGAATGCTCGTCCAGAGGAAGAAATTCGCAGTCGGTGTCCTTGGCGGGAAAATCTACGTCGCCGGCGGGTGTTCGAGATCCGCTGAAGTGGAGGAATATGACCCATTGGAGAATTTGTGGCGCGTGGTCTCCCACGCGCCGAGAAGGAGATATGGGTGCGTTGGCGCAGCCGTGGACGGCTTGTTTTACGTGATTGGTGGGCTGAGGATAGGTAATTCAGGGAATGAATGGTTGAGCTTGTCCTCATGGGCCGCCGGTGCTGAGGCGGTGCATCTTTACGCCAGCTCAATGGATGTGTATGATGTGGCGGCGCGTTCATGGCTGAGGAGCCGGTCAGTGCCAGGAGGCGGCTGTGTGGTGGCAGCTTGTGCCGCAGGCGGACACGTCTATGTGCTTTCAAGCCATGCAGTGGAGCTCTCATTCTGGAGATTCAATGGCATACGAAACAGTAGTAGCTTCGGAGAGTGGTGTAGGATAAAGAGTCCGCCGCTACCGGCGCAGGTTAGACTCGACAGCTCGGTGAGGTTCTGCTGCATCGGGGTGGGGGAAAAGGTGGTTCTAATTCAAGTAATGGGTTGCATAGATGACTTGTTGAGGAGGAGTGGGAGGAATGAGAGGGGCTTAAAAGAAGGATTGGTGTTGATCTACGATTGCACCGCCGGAGAGTGGAGCAGAGGGGCTGACTTGCCGGAAGTGATCAGACGCGCCGCCTGTGTATGTGTTGAGTGCTAATTTAATCTGCGCCAAAGAAGGGCTACCAGATTCCTGCTACTCTACGACTAAGAGATGCGCATTGGCTCACGAGTCTTCTCGTTTGCGTATGGAGCTTTTGACCATTTGTGCTTTTTAGGCGAGAAAAATGGAGCTAGGGAACTTGGTCTGAAAGCATGGGAATCACCAGTTACCACATTGAAGTATTCAAAATATTTTTTAGCCAAATTGGTACAAATTGACTATTCTTTCCTTTTCTTTTGTATTTTTTTTACCTTGCTTGGGTTTTTGGGGTGCTGAGAATGAATGGTTTATAGGGGGGTATATACCACATTGGAATTCCATTTTTGAGTTGGGAAAAAAAAAACAAGAATTGAAGGAAGGTGATGATAGGGTGTGGGAAGATCTAGGAGGGGAATCTGGATTGTGGAGTGTATCTAGGGATGGATTGGTAGAATGGGATTAAGCATTAAACTATTGATTATTTTTTTTTCTTTGAAAACTTAAACTATTGATTTGGTAGGTGATGGGAGGTGGATTAGTAGTCAAAATTCTTAGTCACTTGTTTGTTCTTTTGCTAATGTGGTATTTGTCAAATCTGACAAACATAAATGAAAAAGAAGACAGCAATTTGTTAGTAGTATATTCTGACAGCTTCTTGGAAGCATTCTATGTATAACTTAGTGTTGTCTATTCATCCCATTGTAGTTAATTCTCTATTTCTTGGCTTGAGAGAGTGTGTTTGTATAACTGAATGAGAATTTAGACCACTGCTTAATACAGCTAAGTGCAGATTTTTCATTGATATCTGATGCAACAGAAACTTGCCTTGTAGAGTTGTGAAGTCCGGCCTGCTGTTTTCCATTTTTGTATAGATAATCAGCAATTATAGAATTTTGAATCCAATTCTAGAATATGATTTCTTATTGCTTAAAGAGACTGCATGTCATTGAACTCAAAAGGGCAATTGCCATATGGAGAAATTCAATAAAACTTGAACCCCTAACAAAGATTACCTGCCAAAAGGCCAAATTACTTGTACTAATTTAGCTTTCATTCATCAAATAATGGATCTAAGAAATAAAACAAATTAAAAAACAAAAATGTTATGCTTTCTTGGGTATTTTATGATCTTGTAAGACATCACAATCACAGCATATGTTAAAAACTTCATGTAAATGTAACATATAGACCACGGAAAGTTGAAGAAAAGGATAAAATTGTTAGGCAAAGTTTATAAGCTTTGGAATTAGTAGTGGAAGATGTTCTTAGGCTGTCACTTTTTACTAATGCATCCCCTCTAAGATGTCTGGAATAGATTGAGATAATAAAATGTAATGTAATGCCAATTTATATACATCAAACTGAAGAGATCCTACTTTGTAACATAAGCTTAGGAAAGCCATGACAACCGTAGTTAGTTAAGTCAATTGGGAAAAAAAAAAAAAACAAAAGAGGACGTTTTGAGTTTAAAACCTTTTATTTATAAAAAAAAATTAAAAACGCAGCACTACCTTGGTTTAGATTTTTTTTAGCACATATTCATTAGAAGTTTATTTTAAAATTATTTATTGAAAATTAAATTAATTTATTAAAAAAATTAATTTATTAAATTAAATTAAATTAATTTATTAAAAATTTATTTATTGAAAATTAAATTAAAAGTTAGAATTTCATCTGGAAAAAACAAAATTTTAAACCATATTGAAATGTTTTGTTGAGAGTTCATACTTATTGAGTCAACTTTCCTCATGCGTCCCACATCGAGTGTTTTCAAGGAAAAAGCACCATATATATGTACGCAAGCGATTGTCCATCCCGTCCCTTCGGGGACATCCGATAAAATTGGAACAATACAGAGAAGATTAGCATGGCCCCTGCGCAAGGATGACACGCACAAATCGAGAAATGGTCCAAATTTTTTTTCACTCTATTTTTCTTAATCTTTCATCTCTCATGGATCAACTAGCAATTTGCAGCAATTCTGACACGACTTGTTTAAGATTCTGCCTTCTTTTTCATTACCCGTGTGTTTCTGTCTATTCACATAAGTTGGTCTGGTGCTATCTTCTGCATCATCTTTCATTCAATTCTCGATATTAGTCACGGTGGACAAATATTGGAATGCCCAGGGTGCAGCTCTGGCAGTTTAATAAATTTTAAATCAGAAGCACCTCTCTAATTAGTAGAAATTTTGCTGTGGTGATAAAGTTCTTTTATCGGCACAGTTGCAAAAATATGAAACGAATATACCTTTATGAGAATTGATTAATCTTTTATATACTTACAATATATAAACAAGTTGATTTACATGCACAATAAGTAATATCAAGTTGAATTTGAACGACGAATTCTATAAATATATCATGCATCTCTATATATAGTTGTTAATGTCATTCAAAACTATTACCATCACTTATTAATTTTCATCTTTGGTTATCACAAGTCACTTGGGATGGATGTCGAGGGCTAATTTGGGGGGGAGGGCGAAAATTTCCCCCTGTTGAGAAACGGAGCGGGCCACCCTACCATTCGTTAAAAAAAATAAATATATATGTATATAATATATAATTTAATTAGTTACAAACTTATGATAATAATATTATTAGTTATATGTATTATATAATGTATATTAGTATATATAATATAATTGGTATTATCAATTATACTATAATTATACATGTCTACTAATATAAATTATTAATTAGTTATACTAAATTTCTAATACATTTGTACTAAATTTTATATTACACTTAACACAATAACACTTTTTTCTCAATGAAAAAAGCACAATAGTAATTTAGTGATTGTATTTGTGTCAAAAGTAAAAACTTGATTACTTTAGTTGTATTTGTTTCATCATGTTGGATTGTATTCAAATAGCTTTTGTTTGATTGTTTTTATGAGTTTCAATTGGGAAATTACGATGAATAATAACTTGGTTATGTATTGGTATTTCAGTATTTGATTATTTGTTAAACTTTGACTATAATAAAATTATATAGCAAATTTTTATGAGTCCTGTGGGGGGAAGAGAGATGGGGAATTAGTAGGCAGCGGGCCTGTTGCCATCCCTACTTGGGTATTGTCCAACATGATTATGACGGATAATGCTAAACCCGGAATCTTTGTTCGACATGAAAAAACTAACTAATAGATCAGGGATTTACAAGTCCCACATGTCCCACATCAACTAAGCAAATCGAAGCCTCTAATATCTATTATGATGGCATATACCTAAAAAGGACATCTAATAAAATTGAAACGATACACAAAATATTAGGGAAGAAAAAGACCTTTCTTACTTCCACGATGAATCATGTTCATTGGAAGTTTTACCAATGATCATTCATGTAGAACCAAAAGATTCACCGAAAATATATAAGAGATATATTTGATAAAATTAATGTATACGCCATACGGGGAGGCAATTTACACACATATCAATAATAATTTATTAATCACATCATAAGAACACGTCTCTCAAATTTCACTCTTTTCAACTAAACATAATAATACAACTTCCTATTTATAGACTAGATGACTTGATAAGCAAATCTTACGCCACAAGAAAGTTCCTTATAAGATACTAATTTCTAAACAATAAAACTATCATAATTTGACTTCCATAAAATTACTAAAACCCTAACTTAACTACGACACTACTAAATAAGAATATAAAAAATTTCTAATTTTGAGTCTTGATTTAATATGCCAACAATACATAATCTTCTGCAATTGACAACTTAGGGAAGAAAACAAAAAAACCAATGAAGTTTCTGTTTTTCATGTGGCCTCTCTAGCTTGTTTCTTTCTGTTTTTATTGTGGCCTTTCTAGCCTTGCTTTATGTTTCGTGGTTAATCATGTTTTTAAGAAATCTCAAACCTACATATTACTTCGTGGTCATACCTTCTTTTCTGTAATTGACAACTTAGGTAAAGGAAAAAGAAAATGAAGTTTTGTTATCTTTTTTGTTTTGGCCTATCTAGTCATTTTCATCTTTCGTGGTAAATCATGCTGTTTTTGGGATCACATCATACCTCATCTTCTGCAATTTAACCACTTAGAAGAAAAGAGTTGAAACTTTTTTTTTTGGGTGGTAAATCATGATGGCTCCAAGTCTCAAAACCTGTACTTTGAGATCGTACCTTGTCTTTTGTAATTGAAAAAAAAAAGGCTCTTTTGATCCTCCATCTTATGTTTTCTAAAAAACATCTCTCTTTTTTTTTTTTTTTCCTGATCTGAAATAACATCTTAGTTAATCAGTCAAGCATACTATGTGCATCCAGTTTGAGCTTTTTCCTTTACTATGTGCATCAGTCAAGCTATTTTTGTTTATCATCTATTTTAGACTTACACTATCTGTTGTTTTGGTCATACTGAACTGACATCTGTCTGAAATTGTTTGAGCAAACATGAACAAGATTGAAAGCTTTCTTGCCCTAGTCTGGACTCTTTTTTGCAGTTTCGACTTCCAAGCTTGGCAATATCAACCTGTTATATCCACTTCATTCTTATTGATGAACTTCAAGAAAATCAGTGTGCTTTTCTAGTTCAAGAAACTAGCTGCTGAGTACTACCGGAGATATATTGCCCATGCCTGTAATGAATTTACCAATGCACAGAAATTCAGTAACTCAAAAAAGTAGTAAACTCACAACAACGAGGTGCATCTTTGCTACTCTTCAACTATCCTGACAATTTAAGATCAGATCATTCCCTATAGCTCTAACCAAGTTATCAAAATAATATCCAGTCCAACCAGTTAGATTCACTAACTTATGGCGAAAATCATTGAATTCCTCCTGAAGAACTCCTTCGCAGAAATACTTTTGCAGTTCTGTCTCCGCACATTGATGAAGTCTCTCCAAAGCAGCCTCAGCTTCCCCTTGGATGTACTCAAAAAGCCCCTTTTTCTTGTGCTGATCCTCCGGTAGATAGTAGCCGTAGGCATAGGTCCATTTTAAAACCCTCCTGCATTCCACAATTTGTGCCCAGGCACGGATGATGAACTGCAATTCAGTCTCAGGTTCGCCCTGGATTTCACTCAGCTTCTCAAGATGGATGGCTTCCATCAGTTTCAAATCCTTCAATGCTTTTTTCCTTGACTTTTCATTACCAGCCCACCTCTCGTAATAATGTGTATATTTCCGCAATGAATTCTTGGCCATCTCCCTCTTGTTTTTATCTTCATCGTATTCTGCACTTTGCTTTGCTCGCTCATAGGCGTTGCAGGCATAATACCCGCCTGTTCTCTCGCCGTGGGCTGACCATGGACCTAAACAAAGCCAACAGAAGTGATGGTTGCACGGGGACTTACAGGTCATGTGCATACAACCCTGATTCTTCTCGATTGGTTTCTTGCACTTTGGACATGGCTTCGTATAAGTCAAGATCCAATTCGTATTCTCCGCTTCTGAACTGTTTTTTACAATCCACTTCCCTGTGGTGTCACAATCCACCGGACTATGAGCCACCTCCAAACAATTCCAGCAAAATCCATACGAACAATTGCATGTAACATCAAAGTTTCTTCCATTACTACTACTTCCAACAATATAATAAACAGCGCAATCACATCCAGGGGCAGGACACCACTTAGTCTTCTTCCTATCTTCAATATAAGATCTAACAAGATAATTGTTGTATTTCTCCTTGTCTTCATTAGATGCCAAAGAATAAATCAGCTCTTCACCAACCGTGGCTCTGCACTTGGGTTCAGGGCATCTCAACATCAAGCAGCCGCGGCCATCATTGATGGATGTGCTAATATAAGTTTTCCAACAGGTCTTACAAAAGAGATGACCACATGCAATCCCAACAGCATCATAACGACAATCATGATTCTCCAAGCAAATCCCACAAAAGAACTCTTTTATTGAAAGATCACGAGCCGAATAGTTCTCCAACAATCCAGCAGCTTTTCGGACCTTTTCTTCATTGGCAAACCATTCTTCACTGATTTTATCAACATCCCAATTGTAGTTGCACAATAAAATCGTTGCTGCTTCTCTTGAAACGAAGAGAATGGATGAAACTTTCGCGATTTCATCCTGTAGAAGTTTTCGGATGTCTTCAGCCTCCAACACAATAAAATTCTTCTCCGTAATTCTATCCATGGATTCTTTGTCTTCATCAATATCATCAGCGATGTAGGCGTCTCCATCATCTTCATCATCAACAGCCTCGTCCTCATATATGTCATGTTCATCTTCATCACTCTCGTTGCTAATATAGGTTTCTTCATCATAGTCACTACCCATTGTTCCTGATCTCGCAGGACAAACAAGTTAAAACAAGATAGAAAAAAAGATTTTACAAAATTTGTTCTGACTTATAAAGTAGCGCTTTTAAGTACGCGAAGTTCTAAACCCTAAAAGAGGTCGGATAGGATACTGTAGCTTGTAAAATAGGAACCAACCCCGGAGG